AGTGTAACATCAAGATGAGCTTATATCTTTAAAAATGTCAATAGTTCACAAGATACAAGGTCATTTCTTAATTATGTATCCAGAGACATCTGACAATTTTTAGGATTTTTCTTATTAAAAAATGAATAGAAAAAAATGAAAAAGAAAAATTTGACACTTAAAAAACTATAAATACAATTTTTAAGAAATATTTTGTTAGTTACAATTTAATTAATTAAAAAAGTTTTTAATGTCAGCTGAGTTTAGTGTTATTAAAATTAACAGACATTTGACAATATTTTTTCATTTTTTTAATCAATAAAAATTATAAAAATTTTCCGATGTTATATTTAATTTCTATAGACACTTAACAATTATCTAAAAAAAAAATTGTATTTATAATTTTTAAAAGTTTCTAAAAATGCAATTTATTAAATAAATTTATCTTGGTATAATTAATTTATTAAGAAAAATCTCTTAATTTTAGTGATAAAAATTTACAATTTTATCAAACAAATTATTTCTAATTATAATTAATAAAAATCCGGATTAATGTCTCGTTAATTAGTACAAGTAGACTAACTTTCTATTTGTAAGTAATTGATATAAATTTTTAAATTAATTATATTTCTCATTTATATTATTAACAGAACCGGCGAGAAAAAAGTCACAGGTGTGCTAGCCGAAGAGTTGTTGAAGACCCGAGAAAGAAAATCCCGGATTCCTGCACCGTTCAAATTCGTCAAAAAACTGAACCCTTTTATCAAAAAATTAAAGTCATCTTCTCCATCAAAAATAGAAGATTACCTTAATTCAACAACTTGCGACAAAAAACTTTCCGAAATGACAACAGTACCTTCGACTCCCAAGAAAGTTTACCGACTATACGGCTTGCGCAACCCTTATTACTCCGACACCAAGGAGAATTCTTGTCCATCAACTCCCAAGAAGCGTAAGATTTTCGACCCTGAAACTTACACATGGACAGAAATCAACGACAATGAGCAAACGCCTATTAAAAAGCGTAAATTAAACCGAGGAAAATCAAGTAGCAAAAAAATTAAGTATCCTTTTTCTGGAATAGGAGAAAGCGATGATGACATTCCTCCTGAATCTCCTCTGAGGTCACAATCTTCAATAAGAAGAGAATTGGTAGAGAAGCTTAACAAGTATCCTTTTGCTAAATTAGGTGAATGTAATGAAGACAATGCTTCTCCTGCTAAATCTTCTCCAAAATCGGGAAGTGGGTGGTCAGAATCTTCAATAAGAAGAGAATTGGTAGAAAAATTGAATAAATATCGTTTTGCTAAATTAGGTGAATGTGATGAAAAGCATGAGAGTGAATTTGAAGAAATTTTCGAAGAAAAATCAAGTCAAAAAATTATTCCAAGTTTAGAAGCTCCAAAAAATGATGATAATATTTTTTCTCCAGCTTTGACGGAATATATTCCGACTCAAGGATCTTCTCAAAGCCAAGGAAACTTAACGTATGATTTAATCACTCCTTCGCCTAATATAGAAGAATATTTACCGACTCCAATTAATTCTCAAAGTCAAATAAATTCAATAATTGATATTAATATAGAAATTTCTCCACTATCCCAGTCAATAGCTTCGCAAGATTATTTTTATCCAGCTGGTCAAAAATATCGCGAGCCTGTTTCACTGTCTGAGTTTAATTCAGTACGTAGATCTTTTGAGAAGCTTAGCTTCAATGAAAGCGACTCGGAGATTCCTTCTGGAGGATTTAGTCAATTTTCTAGCATTGATTCAAAGGATTCTTTTCCTACTCCAAATTTGAACCGATTTTTCACTAGTCTTGATCATGATTACGCTAAGAGTAATGATACTCAGATACTTACTCCTTTTGTAGACTCACCAATAAATTCTCAGGCTGGTCCTGAAGAGCAGTCGGGTTTTATTAAAAATGATCCTTTGGATTTAAGCGATAAATTTGAGGTAGAAATTTTTACTCCTCCGTCGCAAAGTTCGCAATTTAGTTTGCTGCCAACGCCAATTTTTCCAAAAGTTTCTGGAGAAAATGAATTTAGCGACAGTTCTGAGTCATCTCCGGTAAAATTACTTTCTAATTGCTGCGACGAGCTTAGTGAAGGCTGGAAGAAAGTTCCTCCGAGTTTTATTGTTCCTGCAAGCACTGATATTAGCGAAAAATTGAAGAGTGTGTCTATGAAGGAGATTAAAGAACAGGTTCGGGGAGTTATTAACTTCCTTGACGGTGCTTAAGCTGGATATTATATGATTTAAAGGATTTATTTTTTTTATTACTCTGTTTTTTAGACAGTTTTTTGTTTTATTTTTTTATTTAACGTGTTTAAGCGTATAGAATACGCAAGAGGACAAATGTTTTGTTAAAGAGAAGACATGTTATATTCATTAAAAATGAATTTTATTTGATTGATAATTATTTCAAAATTTTTAATATTTTGTTATTTTATAAAACAAATTTAATCTTAATTTAATCATTAAGAAAATGGCTACTTAATTTTATATTATTAAAACTGGTGATTAATACGTGTATAACTAATAATAGATGAAAAATACCATCTATTTTTTGTGATAATTATTTTGAGTATACCTAATGTTAAACATAAATTTGTCGTAAAATTTAAAATAAATATGTAACTTCTTTTAAATATATTAATTATTTTTTTTTCTTTGATCCAAAGTCTGAAAATTTTATAATTTCTGCCATTTTATCGCAATCGCTACTTTTTTCTTCATTAGCTTCTTCAATTTTGCGTTTCTTATCTCTTTTCTCTTTTCTACACAGAAAGAACAAGATAACACTGAATGTCATCCCAGATTATACTGAGTGAAAAAAAATTTCAGATAGTAGCTAGTATAATCCAGATTATAATTATAATCCAAATATCACGCAGTATAATCTGGATTTTTTTAGCTACTATTTCAAATGTTTTTTTCACCACAGATATCACTGGGTATAATCTATAATACCCTGGGATGATATTCAGTGTCATCTTGTTTTTTCCATGTATACTCTTTTATTTTTTCTTCCTGCAATAATTATTTAATTTAATAAAGAGTGATTATATAATTTATTTAATTGCTATAACTACAGAATTATTTATTATTGAAGAAAAGAAGGCATGTTATTATTCATTAAAAATGAATTTTATTTATTTTATAATAATTTCAAAATTTTAAATACTTTGTTATTTTATAAAACAAATCTATTATTTTATAAACTTAATTTAATAAGTCATTAAAAAAATAACTACTTAATATTATATAATTATTAAAACTGGTGATTAATACGTGTATAACTAAAAACATAATTTATTTTGTGATAGTTACTTTGAGTGTAATGTTAAACATTACAAATTTGTCGTAAAATTAAAAATATATGTAACTTCTTTGTAAATATATTAATTATTTTTTTTTCTTCGATCCAAAGCCTGAAAATCCCATAATTGCTGCCATTTCATCGCCACCGCTACCTTCTTCTTCATTGGCTTCTTCAATTTTCCGTTTCTTGTCTTTTCTCTTCTCCTTTCTATACTCTTTTATTTTTTCTTCCTGTAACAATTATTCAATTTAATTATAAAAGAGTAATTATGTAATTTATTTAACTGCTGTCCACAAAATTATTTATAATTACAATAAACGATTTTCAGTTACACAAGTGACCGCAATTTAGTTGAGAATTTTTGTCTGTCACCTAAGTAGTGACTAAATTATATTATATATAAAAATTGTAAGTACCTCTTCTTTTAATTCCTTAACTCGTTGCTCCAGGTCATAATCTTTCTTCTTTTCTTCCATTTTTTTTTTATTTGCATTGAAACGAGCTTTTACTTGTTCTAATGTCGATCTTTCGACTTTCATCGACATTCCCAAATTTCTTTGATCTATTTAGAATAGATAAACATAATTAGATTGTAAATAAAAAATTTCAGGTAATTAGTGTTACATCAGATTACTATTTTTAATTTACAACTGTTTAAATTAATGTGTTATAATATAATTTTACTTATTTTTTAATTTTAATTAAATTTTAGTAATATAATAAAAGGAAAAGTTAAGTAAATTATAATTAACTAATTAAATGATTACTTTCTAAATTAAAAATCGAAATTTTGTAGCTAATGTTACAAAACTTGTCATAAACAATCAGGTGACATCAAATTTAAACTACTTATTATTTAAAACAGATGAAAAAAAATATTTTCAAATACTTTCCCTTAAATGAAAATAAATAATTTAACAACTAATGACATCTGATAACTAATTGTCTACTTTTCTAATATTACTCAATGACATTAAAGTTAGCAGTCTTGACCATTTTTTAATATTTTTTTAACAAACAAATTTTGCTTTATTAAATAATGACTTTTGTTAAATTGCACTGTACTTTCTTAACTATTGACTTTTTTAAAGATATAAGCTCATCCTGATGTTACACTCATCAAGAGCTTTCATTTGAGTACCCACATGCATTTTTGATATATTTTTCATATATACATATATGTAATATATATAATAAATATATTA